TGGGAACACTGGGGGTGCTGGGAACACTGGGGGGGACTGGAGAGACTGGGGGGGTTGGGAGGACTGGGTGGCACTGGTGGCACTGGGAGGGCACCGAGGAAACTGGGAGCACGGGGGTGACTGGAAGGACTGGGACACGCTGGGGAGCACTGGGGGCACTCGAAGCACTGGAGCACAGGGAGCACCAGGCTGGGTGCTGTGGGAGCACTGGGAGGTCACTGGGAGCACTGGGAGGTCACTGGGAGCACTGGGAGCACTGGGATCACTGGGAGGTCACTGGGAGCACTGGGAGGTCACTGGGAGCACTGGGAGCACTGGGAGGTCACTGGGAGCACTGGGAGCACTGGGCCGACAGGGGGCGCTGTGAACTCGGGGGCAGCCGAGGCTCGCCCCGCTGGCAGGTTGCTCGTGACGTCACAACCCCGCGCCGCTCGGTGACGTCACACCCGCGCCGCGCGGTGCTGCCATGGCGGCGGAGGAGGAGGAGGCCGCGCTGCCGCCCCAGAAGCGCTTCTACCGGCAGCGCGCGCACTCGAACCCGCTGGCCGACCACACCCTGCGCTAGTGAGTGCGGGGACCCCCGGGAACCGCCCGGGACGGGTCCCGGGACCGCCTCAGCGCCCGCATCGGGACCCCCCCGGCCCGGGACCCCGGTCATGGTCCCGTGTGGCGCCTGGCCGCCGGGAACAGCCGGGCTGGATCCCCCTCCCCATCCCCTCCCGGTCACACCGACCGCGTCCCCCGCCCTTCTGTCTCCCCCGTGTTTCCCCGCCCCCGGTGAGGCGGTTCCAGCCCCCGGTGCCGCCGCTCCGGTTCCCGGCAGTGACGGCCCCGCGGTGCCCGCAGCCCCCCCCGCCCTCAGGACATGGACTGGGCCTCGCTGTTCCCGAGCTTTTTTCCGCCCGACGCCCCCCCCGGGACCCCCCCGGCCCGCGTGGAGTTCGCAGACGTGGGGTGCGGCTACGGGGGGCTGCTGGGTGAGCACGGGGGGCTCGGGGGGGCTCGGGGAGGCTCGTGGGGCTGGGGGGCACGGAGGGGCTGGGGGGGCTCGGGGATCTGGGGGGTCTCGGGGCGCTGAGCGCCTGTCCCCGCAGTGGCGCTGGCCGAGCGCTTCCCGCAGACGCTGTCGCTGGGGCTGGAGCTGCGGGGGAAGGTGGCCGCGTTCACCCGCGCCAGGATCCGGGCGCTGCGGGCGGCTCAGCCCGGCCGCTTCGGCAACGTGGCCTGTGTGAGAGGCAACGCCATGAAACACCTGCCTCACTTCTTCCACCGAGCCCAGGTGAGACCCCCCGAAACCCACAGCAACCCCCCAACACCCACAGCAACCCCCCGAAACCCACAGCAACCCCTTGAAACCCACAGCAACCCCCTGAAACCCACAGCAACCCCCCAAAACCCACAACAACCCCTTGAAACCCACAGCAACCCC